CAAAAAAAAGTGCTCATAATTTTGAGTTATCATTGCTCATTAGAAATGTGAGGCGGTTGTCCTCTTCCCAGTCCACTGACAAGTATTCCTTGCCAGCACTCTCACCACCAATTGATGGTATTTTCTAACAGTGATATGTTTTACCATTGTTAGGTTCTACTAATCTGTGACATAGGTAAATAGAAAGCTGAGAGTGAGAGTGGCTCAAAAGAGTACAGATTTGCTTAAATTTATATTTCTATGCCTAATGGAAAATTTTTATGCTGAATGAGAGCCATTCATTTGTAGGGATTGAATTCTATCTCCCCAAAATGTGTGTTGTAAATCCTAACCTGTATTCCTGTGGTTAAGGAGCTCTGGTGGTTAAGGCATTCAGCTGCTAACCAGAAAGTCTGTGGTTCAAACCCACTAGCCACTCTGCAGGAAGAAAATGAGGCAGTCTGCTTCCATAAAGATATACAGCCTTGGAAACCCTATGAGCAGTTCTACTCTGTCCTGCAGGGTTGCTGTGAGTCAGAATTGTCTAGAAGGCAGGGAGTGGGTAGGTATACCTATGGTTATAATCCTGTTTGGGAATGGGTTGTCTTTGCTATGTTAATGAGATTCAAGAAACATCCTATACTAATCCTGTCTCATTAACATAATGGATTAGTATAGGGTGTTTCTTGAATCCATCTCTTTTGAGATATGAAAGAGATTAAACAAACAAGCAAGAGAAGCAGATAGGAAAAGAGAGATACCAAGCTACATGAAGATCACCTAAGAGCAGGAGCTCAGAAGAGACCAGGAGCTTCCTCCAGAGTTGACAGACAGAGAAAACTTTCCCCTAGCCCCAAGAGCCAGTACCCTGAATCTGGGCTTCTAGCCTCCTAAGCTGTGAGAAACATTTCTGTTTGTTAAAGCCACTCACTTATGGTATTTCTGTTATAGCAGCACTGGATAACTAAGAATATGGTACTGCAAGTGGAGTTCTGCTCTCACAGATACCTGACGTGGGGAAGCCGCTTTGGAAGTGCGAGTGGAGTTCTGCTCTCACAGATACCTGACATGGGGAAGCCGCTTTGGAAGTGGGTAATGGGTAGCGGCTGTAAGAGTTTTAAGGTGCCTAATAGTAAAAGCCTAGATAACCTTGAAGAGACTGTTGGTAGAATTATGGATGTCAGCAGCAGTTATGGTGAGGACTCAGAAAGCAGTGAAGAGAGCTAGAGAAAGTCTCTGTTGTTTTTGAGAATCCACATGGAACTAGCAACAGAATGTTGCTAGAAATGGGGACATTAAATGTACTTCTGGTAAGGCTTTAAAAGAAAATGATGAACATGTGATTGGATAATGGGGGAAGGGCAGTTCTTTTTATGCAGTGGCAAAGAACCTGTTTGAATTACGTTTATATGTTTGGTAGAAGGTAGAACTTGTAAGTGATAAGCTTGGCTATCTGGCTAGGGAGATTTCTGAGCAAGATTTTAAAGGGCCACATGGTTTTCTTTTGCCATTTATAGTAAAATGCAACAGGAAAGAGATGGACTTAAAAATAACTGTGCAGAATAAAAACAAAACTTAAAGATTTGGAAGATTCTGTTGTACAAACTAAGGATACATATCCTAGAATGTTTACCAAGGACTTGGCCATACAATCTTTTGTTAAACCTGTAATTGATGGATCTAACCAACTACCACAGCAGAAAACCCATCAGCTTAGACTAAAGGGGATAGTGAAAGAACTAAAGGAAAGAACACTGTCTGTTTCTTGGAATTCTATAGGCAGGAAACAGGCCACAGGTGCTACATCTATTGTTTTCTAAGAAAGGAGAAGGACCATCCCTGGAGCAAACTGGAGATCAGAACTGTTGGAAGAAGCATGGGAATCAGGGCCTTTTTGATTTCAAAGGTGGGACCACGGTCTCCTGGATCTCAAAGGGGCCACAGCCTCCTAAGTTTCAAAGAGTATGATCTTTGTCAACTCAGTTCTAGAGTGTGGGGCTGCCATTAAGGTGTGCCAGGAGTATGAGGGCACCTCTTAAAGCTGAGATAGTGGGGCTATCATGCCTAAGGGGCAGAAGAATAGGGCCTGCCAGGGCCAAGGGAGTGGAGTACCACTCAGATGGACTAGGAGATAGGGGCTGCCCAGAGCTTAGGGAGCAGAGTTGCTATCTCAGTGGGCCTTGAAGGTGGAGCTGAAGCCCAGTGCCAAGAGGCCTCCACTTAGAATCCAGACGGTGTAGCCAACACTCAGAGTCTGGAGGGCAGGTCATTGCCCAAATGGTCTACAAGAAGAGAGGATTATTTTCAAGGCTTGAGAGCTGATGTAATTTGTTCTGCTAGGTTTTTGGACTTGACTTGGTGCCTGTTATTACTTCTTTCACTCCAATTTCTCCCATTTGTAATAGAAATGTCTGCTTTGTACCTGTTCCACTGTTGTATTTTGGAAATGAATAAATTTCCAAATATTCTAGAATACTAGAAATGTAGTGTTCTAGATTTCAGAGGTTCACAGATGAAGAGGAATTTTGCCCCAGAATTGAATATGCCTAACATGTCACCCATATTTGATTTAGATGTGTGGTGTACTAAATTACATGGCATGGCTTTTCTAGCCATAGTCTTTGTAACTCTGACCAGATTACTGGGTGAGACCATGCAATTTAAATTGCTAATTGTTAAAGTTATCCACCTGGGGTATTTCTGTTGTCGAACCATGAAGTAATGTAGGAAATTCACTCTCAGGTGTGTAGAATTCTGATGTTGGGATTGGTTAGTTTTGCCAGCTTGAAATGAGCCCTTCTAGAGGCAGAAAGGGAGCTCTGGTAGCATAGTGCCTAAGGCACTTCACTGCTATCCACAAGGCTGGCGGTTCAAACCCACCAGCCACTCCTCAGAAGGAAGGTTGGGCAATGTACTTCCGTTGTGATACTGCCTTGGAAACCCAAGGAGGGGACGGCACATGACAACAACAACAGAGGCAGAAACGAATCTCTGACTGCCGGCTAAGAGAGATGATTGGCTGAGACAGACACCCAGCTGAGAGAGAGACGAATGGCTGAGAGAGACATGTGGCTGAGAGAGAGAGAGAGACGCGGCTGAGAGCGATGCCCGGCCGAGAGATGGCAGCAGTGGAACCAAGAGATAGAGCAGCAGGCTTACCTGGCCCATAGAGGCAGAGGCCATGCCAAGAGGCCAAGGGCCACAAAGACGTGTCTAAGGGCACAGGAGAGAAGAGAATGTCCTGACTGAAGGACTTGTATCCTGAGTGCATTCCTGAACTTGAATTGTGGCCTGTTGCTTCCCTAATAAACCCCATAATCTATGAGTTCTGTGTGGCCACTGCAGCAAATTACTGAATCCAGCAGAGAGGTGTGATGGGTGCCTTGAGAGGGATGGTTGGTGTCAAGGTTGGTAAGAGGGCTGGAGGGTGGTGGCATGTCTGGCATCATAGGAGCAGGCCTTGGGCTACTGGTGATGATTCTGTCTTCCTTTTGGGAGCTCTGGTGGCATAGTGCCTAAGGCATTTGACTGCTAACCAGAAGGCTGGTGGTTCAAACCCACCAGCCACTCCTCGGAAGGAAGGTTGGGCAATCTACTTCTGTAGAGATAATGCCTTGGAAACCCAAGGAGGGGGTCACTGAGTTGGGACTGACTCCAGGGCAATGAGTTCGGTTTTGTTTTTTTGTGAAGTTAGAGGAGGTTAGAAGATGCTGCCTCCCTTTAGCAAGATGATTCAGAAGATAACATTTTGGATTTGGAGTTGATTTAAGACTTTTTTGATATGATGTGATGGAATGAATGTTTTACATGTGGCAAAGACATTTTGGGAGGCCAAAGGGTGGAACATAGATTGAATTGTGTCCCCCAAAAAATATGTGTTGTAAATCTTAACCTTTATGCTTGTGGTTATATATAGTTCTGTTTGGAAATTGGTTGTCTTTGCTATGTTGAGACAGAATTAGTATAGGGTATGTCTTGAGTCAGTCTCTTTTGAGATTAAGCAAGCAAATAAGAGAAGCAGAGGTGAGAAAGAGAGATGCCAAGCCACATGAAGATTGCCCAGGAGCTGAAGCTTGGAAGAGACAAGGACCTTCCTCCAGAACTGACAGACAGAGAAACTTCCCCGTTGAGCTGGCATCCTGAATTCGGACTTCTAGCTTCCTAAACTGAGAGAAAATAAATTGCTGTTTGTTAAAGTCATCTGCTTATGGTATTTCTGTTATAGCAGAAATAAGAAATAACATAACTCAGACATATACCAAAAAAAAGAAACCAACCCAAACTTATTGCCATCGAGTCAGTTCTCGATAGCGACTCATAGCAACCCCTCCTTGAGATTCCGAGGCAGTATCTCTCCAGAAGTAGATTGCCCAGTCTTCCTTCTGAGGAATGGCTGCTAGCCTTCTGGTTAGCAGTCAGCTCTTAGGCACTATACCACCAGAGCTCCTAAGTAAGACATATACTAAAGCTAAATATATAATTACCTTTAAGCAATAAGGTTAAAGTTTGAGTTTAAGAAGAAATTGTTCATAAATAGGGGTGTGTGCGATTTAATTATTTTTATTCTTTCAAACTATAAACTTGAAATACAGAAATTCAGCTTTACACAGAATATAAGAGGGAAAGGATGATTACTTCACCAACACATTTATGGTAATAGTCTGTTAAAAAAACAAACTACTCTAATGCAATTGAAATATTTGATTTTATAGATACGAGTCCTGTACCATAAGATACCTAAAATAGCCATTTCAGGTGGACTGGTTTGTGTGTGAGAGTTCTAAAGTAAAATGCTCAATATAAGAATTAATATTATACAGTATAACAAATATAAGTTGGCCTGTTGCTTGTTAGTGTAACTCTAAGGAATCTTATAAGAAAATGATCATAAGAATTTATCAAGTAAAACTTGTTTCAATCTTAAGTAAATATGCTAAATGATAATTATTTTAAACTTAATGTGATTAATGTCCCATTGCATATCTAAAGTCATAATTTTCTTATGAGTTTTTTCCCCTCAGGTTTTAATTACAACAAGAACAGCTGCTGATAATTTTAGCACTCAGTATGTTTTAGATGGCAATGGTCACGTAATTTCTCAAAAACCCTCACATCTTGGTCAAGGTAAGAGAGTAGTCATTTGTAGTGCCTTTTTTTTTAACCTTTCCCATCTTAATTGTTTGTTTTAAAATGTATTATTCCTTAAATCAAATGTATTGCTTAATGGCTTCTTCTTGAAAAGAACTAGTTTATTTCTAAGTGAACATGCAGCCTTTAATCTAGCCATCAGTCTCAAATACTTGGAGTTCTTAAGAGGAACTTTTTGAAAGCCTATGGACAACTCCCTGGATTAGTTAGTTGTCATAAAACCTGCAGGAGCACTTACCTACTGTTATTGGATCACTTGGAGTCTCTGCGTGGCACAGTTAAGTGCTCAACTAGCCCAGAGTTCAAGCCCACCCAGAGGCCTCTTGGAGAAAGGGCCTGATAATCTAATTCCAAAAGATCACAGCCTTGAAAACCCTGTGAAGCAGTTGTACTCTGCACATGTGGATTGCCATGAGTTGGAAGCAACTTGACAGCAAGTAACAACAACAAAAGCAATGTTTTCTTCGTATATGAAAGATAGTAGCAATGTTTTCTTCGTATATGAAAGATAATAGGAGCTCTGGTAGCATAGTGCCTAAGGCACTTGACTGCTCAACAGAAGGCTGGTGGTTCAAACCCACCAGCCACTCCTCAGAAGGAAGGTTGGGCAATCCTACTTCCGTAGTGATACTGCCTCGGAAACCCAAGGGGGGTCGCTATGAGTCGGGGCCGACTCGACGGCAAACAACAACAACAACAACATGAAAGATAATATTTTATTGAAACTTCTAAAACGTTACTGATTGGCAGTCATGGTAATAAACCATAATCAAAATATTATGAATTAAATAAGTAATTTTAAATATATTTATTTGCATGTGAACAACTTTAAAAATATTCCCAAGTAGATGAAGTAGTGTACCCATCACTCAGTTTCAAGTTATGAACTCTTTGCTAATATTTCATCTAATACTGCCACCACCTTATCCCTTTCTATGTTATTTTGAAGCAAATAAATTAAATGTCTTAATTATTGTCGCTACCTATAATTTAGATCTTTGGTGTTCTATACACTTACATGATTTTTATTACATTTTAATTAATGTCTTATGTTATTAAGGTTTAATAACTATTTTACTTCTAAGAAAAACTCTTTAGACTTGAGTTTTGCATGATTCCTTTAATCTTTTCATACTGCTAATTTCTGGTAAAAAACAACAAAGGCAACCACTACCATGGAGTCAGATCTGACTCATAGGACCCCTCCCTGGTTTTCCAAGGCTGTATCACTGCGGAAGTAGATTGCCCAGCCTTCCTTCCGAGGAGTGGCTAGTGGGTGTGAACTGCCAGTCTGCTGGTTAGCAGTCAAATGCCTTAGGCACTATGCCACCAGAGCTCCCCTAATTTCTGGTAAGAATGGTTAAAGTTAAGAGAACATTAAAGGTAGGATCACTTCAGAGTCACGTTCAAAAGCGTTGTTAGATCTGAAAAAGGCTTTTTTAACCCCTTCTAACTTATATTGTAAATTCATGTTTAATTTTGTTTTCCTCATAATTTATCAAGTACTATATTTTTTCTGTGCTTTCTTCCCTTCAGTTGTAATGTTAAATTATTGGATTTATTTTATTCAAGTGACTTCTTCATTACAATTTATCTATTGTTTTTTATATCTTAATATTGATACCAAATTCTCTCACGCTTTCTCTTATTTTATAAATCTTCCACTTAGTTACTGATTACTTTTGCCCATTAGTAATTAATATTTTTGTATCCAAATAGAGGAAGACATTAATAGGAACTCAAGAAAACAAACAATAATTTTTTTCTCCTCATTTGTTTAATGAAAATGAGCTCAATTCTACTAGCTGTTTAATTTGATGTGCAATAATAAATACTTTCTTCATACATTTCAATTAAAAAAAATAATAGTTTGTGATTGTTCTACCATACAGGTCTTAGCAGTTCACATTAGGAAACTATTAGAAGATATTTGAATGGCTACCTGGTAGAGTATTTTGAAGTAATCTAGTCACCTTATAAAACTTAAAGATACTCACTTTTGTCTTAGTAATAGCCAAACTAATCTAGGTGACCAGTGGCTCTGCATCATTCGTAATTCTCCTACTTCTCTGTATTTGTCTCCATGGGAACTATGAAATAACAGTCTTTAAAGAAGGAATCCACCTGATCTTTGCCCTTTTTTATTGGTTGATTTTCCTTTTTCTACTGACCTCATTTTTCTACATTCAGTAAGTGAGACCAGGTATGCATATTAGAGATCTTTTGTTTAGTCAATAAATCAACCTTATTTTGTTTTGATTTTTTTTT